CCCCCCTTTTTTAATTGTGGGTTTTTTTTTTTTTTTTTTTTTTTTTTTTTTTTTTTTTTTTTTTTTTTTTTTTTGTCTTCTTCTCCCGTTGAAGGTCTGTTCCTCTTTCCAGATGGGTCCCACCCAGGCGTATAACAGCCAATTCATGAACCAGCCCGGGCCTCGGGGGCCTGCCTCCATGGGGGGCAGCATGAACCCCGCAAGCATGGCGGCTGGCATGACGCCCTCGGGGATGAGCGGCCCTCCCATGGGCATGAACCAACCCCGGCCACCCGGCATCAGCCCCTTTGGCACACACGGGCAGCGGATGCCCCAGCAGACCTACCCGGGCCCCCGGCCCCAGTCCCTTCCCATTCAGAGCATAAAGAGGCCATACCCGGGAGAGGTGAGTGTGACAGCTGGCAGCCGGTGGGCAGGGTGGGAGGTGGGGAGCACACGGGTGCTGTGGGTAGTCCCTTGAAAAGGGCATGGATTGACCTTCGGGAAACCTGGACCAGGAGAGGCAGGATCTTAGGAGGCAGGTGCTCCTGAGTTTAAGGTCAGCTCTGGCATTTCCCATATAGAAGACCCTGAGCAAGTGACGTCACCTCCTGGAGCCTCCGTTTTTTCTTTTGTAAAAGGCAGTGACGATCCAGCCCACCTCCTGGGGCTGCCTGGGAGTCTTGAGGGAGGGGGGCTGTACGCGAAGCGCCTGGCCCTGGGCCGGCATGGGCGGGCACTTAGCAAGCAGTAGCCGCTGTTAGGATTCTCTTCTGTCTTGGCATAGACACTAGCTGGGCGACTTTGGGTAAGGAACTAAGCCTCCTTGGGTCCACGTTCCTCGCACCCACCACACCCAAGAGTGAGAGATGAGACAAGACCCTGTAAAGATCTAAAGGCCGTGCACCTGGGAGAAGTGACTGGAAGGCAGACAGCATGTTTCTTGGGGCTCTGTCGGGAGGAAGGCTGCCCGGTGGGGCGCCCAGCCACCTCAGCCGCGAGATCAGTGAAGATCGAAGGAAGCGAACCCACACCTCCTGTCCTCCAGGAACCAAGACTTCAGCAGGAAAGATAAGGTCTAAGCTGGAACTCACAAAGGAATGATGCACCTTGGGGTGTGTGGAACTCAGCGTGAGGTCAGGAGAAGGACTTCCTGGAGGGGGTGTCACAGGGAGGTCCAAGCTGGAACTCACAAAGGAATGATGCACCTTGGGGTGTGTGGAACTCAGCGTGAGGTCAGGAGAAGGACTTCCTGGAGGGGGTGTCACAGGGCCTTCAGCGAGCACCCGGAAAACGGGTTGGCAGCAAATGGCCTATGTGGGTACCTGGGTAAGGATGCAGTTCACCTGCAGAAGACACAGAGACCCCAGGATCGTGGCCCCTGCACACGCTCCTCGAGAGGCCCACCTTGATTCCTCACCTGGACAGGGCCCTTCCCGAGCATCACCCAGTGCTCTGCTGGCACAGCTCTTCTCAGGTTGGCTTCACCCCGTCTCAGGACTGTGCCTTCCTCTTGGGCTTCCAGTGCGTTTAGAGCCCAAAGACCCTGAGTTCCTTGAAGGTCTATGTGCCTCCCCTCAGCATCCACCCTTACTTGGGCTAGAATGCAGCTTGGACACTGATGGGGTTGTCCTGGGTCCAAGAGGGGAGATGTCAGGGACGTCCTCAAACACCCAGGAGCCGGGGTCAGGCCCAGACCCCCTCCAGGTGGGCGGCAGCTCAGGGAGAAGCTGGAGGAGGATGGCAGCTCCCGAGGCCCTGGCTGTCCTTGGGGGTGGGGGGCCTCGACCCGTGGGCCTCACTCCCACGCACAGCCCCCACGTGAGTTCTGAGCCCTCTCAGCCCCCTCTGTGCTCAGACTCCCGGCGTTCCCTCTGGCTGGGCTGGGAATGCATCTGTAGGCCCAACCTCAGCTGCTGGCACCCAAGGAGGCGATCACAGAAAAGGCAGCGGAATTTCCGGTCGTTAGCCTGACGTCAGCCCTGTGCCTCTACCGGTGTTAGCTCCCCAGCTCTTACGTGTCACAGCAGGGCACGCCAAAGGCTCTCAGTTATCTTTACTAAAGTCATCCTCAATAGACTGCTGGTACTACCCAGCTACAAAATGCTCGACGCTGGGCTGTGACACCGGTGGGCACAGACGGCACGCGCTGACCCCGTCGGGGAAGACTGGCCTCACCTCTCAGTACACACTCATAGAACCTCCAAGTTGTCGGAACCTGGGGGCGGGAGCGGGGGTCAGGTCACCTGGTCCCGCAGAGGGACTAGTGGACAGGCCCCAGCTCCCCCTCCCGTCCCGCAGCGATGTGATGGGAACCTCACCATCACACAGAGCAGCCGCCGTATCGCATCAGCGTGAGCTCCGCAGAGTTCTTCAGCGCTGGCGCAAACCTCACCCTCTTCTGCCGTTTACCCCATGTGTTGAGCAAGTAATTGCAGGCCTGTCCTTTGCCAGACGCTGAGACACAGCTGTGCCTCCTGGACCTCTGAGCCTAGAGGGCAAGAGAGAGTTAATAGACAAGAAGTTTCACAGATGGGGAAGAATCACTGACTCTGCAAAGATGCGATGGCCTGGGATGCCCTGCGGGCCACCTGATTGTACAGACAGGGAAGCAACTGGAGGGTAGGGGTGGCTCTCCCAGGACGGCGATCCTGCCCCTCTCTGGAGCTGTTGCTTCCCCCAAGAGGGGCTGCCTTGTCCCTTCGCCAGCCTGGTTCTCCTGACCTCTGCACCAGTAGCCCAAAACTAAACAGCAGCGTGTTCTGCTCAGCGTGGGGTACGGGGACAGTGCCTCCCAGATTCAGCCTCAGAATGCAAGGGCTGGGGATCACCTTTCTGGAAGTGCGTCCTGTTGTCTGTCACATACTAAGCACTAGGGGAGACCCAAAGGGGGCTTCAGAATCAAGCACCCTCATGATGGCAAGAGCTCTGGAAGCACCCCCAAGCCCAAGGGGCATGGAGTTTTGAGAAAGACAGCTTCATGGGGAGGTGGCCTCGAGCCAGGCGGGCCGATGTAATGTCCCTGGATGTCAGGGCAGGAAGGGCCCCCGGCCTCGTCTGGTTCAGCTGGTCTCCTTTGCAGGTGGGGTGGGCATTTTCCGGGTGGGTGGAAAACAGCAGAGGCAGAGGAGAGGAGGTGGGGCGTCCCGGCATCTGGTGGGCAGCTTGGCTTCGAGACACTGATGCCCTTTCCCCGCTCCTTTCTCTGCCACCATAGCCCAACTACGGAAACCAGCAATATGGACCAAACAGCCAGTTCCCCACCCAGCCAGGCCAGTACCCCACCCCCAATCCCCCACGGCCGCTCACCTCTCCCAGCTACCCCGGGCAACGGATGCCCAGCCAGCCGAGCGCCGGGCAGTACCCGCCCCCCACAGTCAACATGGGGCAGTATTACAAGGTGAGTCCCACCACCCCACAGGCCCTTTCCCTCCTTACCGCCTCACCTCCCCACCCCTGCCAGTGTCATCCTGACCCTGGCTGTCCCCTGGGGTCACCAGGGGGCAGGCGGAGATCTCTGGATGTGATCTCATGTGCTCAGAGCTGTGCGTGCAGCGGCCAAAATGACAGACTGGCTTTTCTTGGTTCCTGTTCCCGTGGGGCTCAGATGATGGTTTTCCCTCTCCTTTTACTATTTATAGCACGTGCGAGATAATAACAGTGAAGGACATATATTTTTTTAAGTAAAAGCACCCACCCCGATACATTTACGTTTGATTATAGACTTTTTCCCCACGCGTGTGGGCATCCACCGTGTTGCATAGTTGTTATTACGGTTGTGACTTTGAATCTGTTTCTTTCACTTGAACACAGCCTGTTAAACTTATTGCTCCAGTCCCCGTGGTTGTCACTTTTAATGGCTGCCTGACATTCTCCTGGGAACCACACCACATTTTATCCTTTCTGTTGGACATTCGGGTTTTTTCTGAGTTTTCACTTTTGAAATAGGACTATAATGAATGTTTTCAGGCACGTAGCTCTTTCCTTCTTTGGGATTATTATGAAGTACATTCTCAGGAGAGAGGAGGACTCTGGAGATATTTTACACGTATTTGCCAGTGAATCACATGCCAACTTACATGACCACCCACCCCTTGGCTTACGTGGGCTTACTATTTTTAGCCCGACTGTAGCACACTAGGTGTTGCTATTGTTATAAACTTGCTCCATTAGTAGCTATGGGCAGAGAGAGGCAGAACACTGACCATGGCAGTGGTGTGCTCTGCCCCCACCGCACTCCCCACCCCGGCACTGGGTGGGCCTCTTCAGCATCCCCTGTCCTCCTGGAAGGTTTTCATTTCAGGAGGGAGAGCGGGGTAGCTTTTCTGCCTTCCGTTCACGGCACTGTTTATCTTGCTTTACCAGCCAGAGCAGTTTAATGGACAAACTAACACCTTCTCTGGAAGCAGCTACAGCAGCTACAGCCAAGGGAACGTCAATAGGGTATGTTTCAGTTTCCATCTCGGGAATTAGAACCCACATGCACTGTGTTAGAGGGGGCCTCACCGTTCCTGCCCCAGCCTTTCCGGACATTAGTGGGGTCGTCCGCTCCAGGGCCCAGAGATGCTTGGAGGACCTGCATCTCAGATGGGTGGGCCAGGGATGAGTGTGGACCTGGCCAGTCCTGGGAAGAAAACAAGGTGGGGACTAAGAGAGGAAGGGAAGGGGCTCCTGGAGATGCTTCACGCCTGACTCCATCTGGGGACCCCAGTGGGGTGGGGTGGCAATGAAGGACACGGCCTGGAGTCATGATGTGGGCAGCGGGAGACCTGGCATTGTTCCTAGCATTCTTTTTCTCCCAAGATTATATTAGGTGAATTCCCCGTCACCCTGAGCCTGTGTCCTCATTGGTCAAATGGGCTGGGGACCCTACAATCCCCCTGGTGCCGCGACCCAAGTGAAGGGTGGGGAGAACCTTTCCAGGCCCACCTGTCTTCCCACAGGGGCAGAGGCCTGAGTGTGGCCAGAGTGGAGGAAGGGGTTTTCCTGGGGGGCTCTCCCCCCTCAGGGGAGCAAGGGCCATAGCCCTAGGACCCTAGGGTGGGTGGGGCACGTGTCCACAGCCGTGGTCCCTCCTTATGCCTGTGAGCCCATAACCTATATGTGGTTTCTCTTTC